TATCTGCCCTCATCCTAAAAAACCAACAAAAAGCTTCATTCTTCTGTATTTGCAATTTCCTTTGATTTTTTTTTTACATAACTACCCTCCCCCTAAAATAACAACAAAAAACTCATTCGCCTGTATTTGCAATTTCCTTTCATTTTGTTAAACTCCCAAGTTCAACATTTGGAGCCCTTTATAGCTTGCTGTTCGGTGTGAGCCAAGGCTCCGTGTTGAAGGCCGTACTTTGACCTATAATTGTTAACATTTTATACATTGTGACTTGGATGGAGAGTTGTCTCATTGGCACCCATACCACATCTTCTTATTCATGTATAAAATTATCCTGTAACCCAGAAACCAAAAAACCAAAATATACCATATGTCAAGCTTTAAACATCATACTTACTGTTAAACATAAAAAAAAATCACTTGCTTATGTGAACGAAATGAATATTTCGAAAGAAAAACAAAATCATTTAAACCATTTAAAATTTAATAGGGCATAACCATGGAGAAAAGGGGGTCAAAATAGTGAATTGTTTATGCCCACAACGGTCAAAGTCTTGGAAATTTTTTTAAAAATTTTTGTGAGAAAAAAAAGAGGAAAAAACTCAATAAAAAAGGGCTGTGTGGGCTCTATGTCTCCCCATCCCCAGTTTCTCAGCCTCATACAAAACAATTTATATTCTTCTGACATTGACCTAATATTGTATATGTATTATACATCTATTCAGTATGTTGATATGCTACGGAATAAAAAGTTAAGGTGGTATGGGTGTTTTCCGCCATCTTGGATTGTAAAATAGCAGAACAAAATTATAAAAAAATCATACTTTTACAAAAGTGTTCTTTTTTTTGTTTGTTTTTGTTTTGTTTTTTTGCTTGATTTCAATATTTTGATTTTGCGTATTAAGGGGAGATGACTCGGGAATAGTACAATTTTTAAAGGAATCTATAGGAACTTTTTCTATTTTTTGTTATAGCAGGAAAACACGTACGGTGAACCAATTTTTTCTTTTAATATTCTGTACATTATAAGAGCTATCTTCTCATATTTTATTTCAAAAAATAAGTTTTGAACTTATAACAGCACCAAGACACGGGCCGCCCAATTTGGTTTCTTTTCGTTTCTCTTCTTTTCAGTGTAGTCTTAGATGGTTGTGTACAATTCTTGTTATTTTCTACCGAGTTTTTTTTATAAGTAAATTTGGTTCGGTCTCGTGCTGTATTTAGAAAAATGTTATCGGATTTTTACATGACAGCTATCATAGCAGGTTTATTATCATCCCTAAGTCATGATATCAGTCCAAGAGCCGCCAAGAAGAAAGAAAAATAAAACATTGGTTTGACATACAAAAAATATACCAATCTCAAGTACGCCATGTATACTGCAAGTCAAACAACATAGGAGGTTGAAAATATCATGTTTAATATACATTAATATACATTGGTGGCCTTGGCTGTTTTCTGCTCTTTGGTCGGGTTGTTGTCTCGTGATCTCTTGCGCTTTCCCCGTTTCCATTTTCAAGTTTATGTATATATATTTTGACTGGTATTTTTGTAAGACAAAAATGCATTTTAAACTCGCTATCGCTCAACCCGTGGTAAAATTAATATAAATTCAAAGCCCCATGAATTATTTCTTCTGTTTTACAGGTCATGAGCAACGCGACTAGTGATAAAAGTACTGCCCCCTCTACCTTTGTACCTGTTTTTGCCTGATTTGAATGGGTTCGTGTTGCTTAATCTTAGGGATGTCTGTGTTGTTTTTGATGGACTGAACGTTGTCTTTCATCTTTTTTTCTTTTTACATATGGTGATGTATATCTTTCTATGAATAATGGGTTTTTTTCTTTGCCCTTTCGATCTTTTGATTTATTTTTTTTGTAATAAGGAATTACACATTTTGAAAATGGCATCATTCCTCGTTTGTATTGTATCTAAAGAATTATATTCAGAAGCAGAGACCAAAAGTTAAAATCTTGTCCTGACCTTTGGCGTTGGCTGAATTTTGAAGATCACAAATGATTGAGATAAAATCAAAACGTTTCGTGTATTTTTATGTCTTTCGCATCTGGCGAACTATATTACAATCCTGTTATCTTTGATGATTTTTTAAGGCTATTCAAACGTAAATTATTCAAACAATGTTGGAACGGGTACCCCTTTTAGTTATCATTCACCATATCCTCATTTATCATGCTTATGTACATTTCTTATCTTATGGTTTCGGGATGTTCATGATGAGATTATTTTTGTAAGTGCTTTTCAGTCTAGTATATCTTATATATCATACTAAAGATCATGTATATACCTGCGGCTCTTTTCACAAAAAATCTTAAGAGTAAAAATACTCGTAAGTCATACACATTTCAGTATAACTTACGATCAATTTTAATCGTAAGATTTTTTGTGAAAAGAGTCGCTGGTGACAAAGAAATTTACCCCAAAAAAAAACATATACGTAACAATCTTTCTTTCTTGTTGATGATAATAATCGGAAAGAAAACAGAACAGATTCAAGTTTCGTTGAAATACAATATTAGAAACCAATTTTATTCACCAAATTCGAAATTCGAAAAATGTTCCTAGTGGTCGGAACAAAATCATATGAAGTCCGCAGAAAACCCCAAAAATATGACTGAAAATGGACACTGAAACAGCTCAGATTTCCAAGAATTTTTTTTTCACTGGAGAAATTTTCCAGTATCGATATTAAACATATATCATAGTTCTATAGTACTGAATAAAAGATCTGTGATACCCTCTATATCTGCAGTGCCATTGACGGAGTGGTCACAAGATATCAAAATTAATTTAACTCACTATATGCACTTTTCGATATAAAGAAGACACAATTTTACTGCAATTCAAACCTCATTGTTATAGGGTCCAGCTCAGGTTGCTGTTTTCAAAGTGGTCAACTTTTCTTCTACCAACCATGTTCGAAAATTATTTCATTTCTTATTCCAACATCTTTATTCAAATATTAAAAAGTTATTAAGTTATTTTTTACTTTTTATTTTCTACTTTACATTCAAATATTAATAATGTCTGCCCATCGACAACCCAAAGGCGATCTTTATACCTCGCGATTGATGTTGGTTTTTCTAATTTATCAGTTGCGTCAAATAAGCATCGCTTGAATGTGAGATTATTATCTAACAAAAGAATAGCTGGGTGTAATTCGTCGGTCACAATGACAGTTTCCTCTGCAGGACCTAGAGTTAAACCTGTTGTTTGAAAAGTATTTGACGGATTCATTCCAAAAATTCCATTGAAATTCTTCTTTTCTTTGGTATTTAAATCCATACAGACAACTTCATTTTTGTTGATAAAAAACAGCGAATTCGACTTTGTTAGTTTTACTCCAAGAATATGTTGGTACGAAGTGGAAAGAAACACCTCCTTTATCTCATATAATTTTATACCTTTGTTACTAAATATCACAACGTTATAATAATTTGATTTGAATGAAACTCCTCTCGGATAATATTGAGTCATTTCCCGTTTCACAACTACCGCAACTTTATCTTCTGAGATGTCCAACCAAAGGGGTGAAAAAGGATGCACACCGGCGAATTTGAGCGTACGACCATCTTGAAATCGCCTAGTAATATATTGTTTCGATTTATTCAAAAGAATTAAAGATTTATCATTCATCATAGTCACGGAAGTCATCAACGTTGTCCTGACTTTTCACTGCGGATCCTTTTTCCTGGTCTAGCTTATACAGACAATTTCCTACTTGTACCAATATTATGTCCTCTGATACCGGAATTATTTTTTTTATTTGCTGTTTTAAGTCGTGTATTTATACATCCTTGTCTTTCAACTATTTTCACGTATTCGGGTATTTATACATCCTTGGCTTTCAATGATTTTTGGTTTGGGCGTTCCTGATAAGTCCTGGAAAAGGTTCGAATTCAACCAAGTGTTATTTCGATTTACAAACACGGGGTCTATGCCACTGCTGGTGGATTGTTAATGAACGAAGATGGCATCAGCTCACCAATCTGTGCTTCGAAACATCATGTGATTTACGACAAACATTTTCCTTATAACTGAGTTTATACATAAGTTTTGGCTTCACAAAAAATTACGAAAGTTTCAAATTAATGCTGCTTGTATTTTTGGTAGAAAAACTTCACAACTGTAGTAAGAAAAAATGTATTAAGACACGATATCCCATTATTATCATGATCATTTAAGTGTCATATATGAAGCGACTTAAAAAAAGATGCTAAGCAATCGATACTTTTGAGTGACCAGTTGTATGACAGTGGTAGACATTTTGAACAATGATTAAAAAAACGAAAAGTATTTGATAGCGATTTGAAAATTGAATATGATTTTTTGAAAAGATTGAATTAACCGTTCTTTTCATGCTATTTTTCGTGTATACGGTACACATGGTACATCAGTGAGATACTCATATAGGCTTAAGTTCTTATAGACAAAATCATATGCTAGTAAAAATTTAAAGAAAGGAAGGCTTGGGAGAATCTATATTTTGCTTGTTTTCGCGTACGTTTTTATCAAAAATTTTTTTATTTTTGTTATGTCATAGATATAACAGCCATATATAAGGATGTTTGCACATCATATAAAGGTGTTTGCACATCATATAATGACAAGTGCACATCATATAAAGGTAAATGCACATCATATAATGAAAATGGTCATAACAAGACAGTGTTGGCGTTCCATATATGGCTATTATATCTATGGTCATGTTAAGAGCTTGTCAAGTCCACACAATCGCTACCCCTAGAAGATATTATCTCGGCTCATCATCGATATCATTATAATGGTCCATGCCTTACGAATGCTTAAATATGTAGTGGATGCTGTTAAATGCTTTGATAAATTGCCAAGTTATGAAGTCATATTGGATTCGAAGTGGTCTCTTTTCAGTTACGTCTCCTATCGGTAGATTGATTGCCCGATATATATTTCCGTAATGTGAATGTGCTTTGTTGTATTGTGTTGTATGTAGGTTTTCAGATAAAACTCGTGTTCAGGGGAAGTAACTCTAATATTTTCGTAGAAAATGAACATTGTGCCATGTGTGTCTTGGGTTAAACGAGGAGTTTCCAAAGCAAAACCAGACAGAGTAATTGTCCAGAAAATTTACCACTTGTTTATTTAGTATAGATCTCTTTCAGAGTATTTTGTAGTGGGAGATTGTTAAAGAATCAACGAAATTCAGAAAAAGGGGGAGGGAATGCAAATATATAACAGTAGTAATGTGTATCCCTTTTTTTTAAAGCCTGTCCATCAACATTAGGACCTGACATTGAAATGATAAGTTTTCCCTGTTTGGCTTCAGATTTTATATCATACCTATTTGAAGTCACCACGGTTCTCTTCCAGATGGTCCCATAATTTGCACTATTGTGTTTTCATGTGTAATTTCTGTGCTTACACCACAAAATTTACTCTGATTGCAGACAGACATCTGCATCTGGAAATTTTTTAAAGCATGGCATGACCTAGATAATTTTATGTTTCAGAAAATTATAAAATTTAATATGATTTTGCTGTGCACTTTTTTCGTCCCTACAGAAGATGATTAAATTAACAAACACTTGAGTTTCATTTAATACATAAATGGTCCACTCAGTAACACAGTTTGAATCTTCTATTGTGTGCAGATATCTATTGTCCATGTCAATCACCAATCAATACTGAATTCACTTCAATTATTACTTTTGACATACAGACATGTTTTTTTACAGAGGGTTACACAGGTAGCTACATGTATAAAACTAACCTTCCCTAAGGCCCTATGAAGTACATTAAAATATAGCAAACAAAGAATGCGGCACAATTTACATGTTTGCTGTTGCCCAACCCTCCCATTACCTGGGATTGTGGTGTAGCAGCATAACATAAGAACAAACTATACAATACATGCTATATATGCTACTTACTCTCAGACATGTCAGATCTGTACTTCGTGTCTTTTGTGTTTTTGTTAGTTGTTTTTGTGCTTTGTATCGATCTGATGAGTTAAGCCCTTTTAAACTGATTTTTTATAGCTTGTTCTTATATTTTACATATTTGAGAGAATTGTTTTTAAACATGTTAAACACAATATTTTAAAATCATAAATATAATAATTACGTATAGTATATTTTTTCTCATTGAGTAGTTTATATACATATAATATAGGATAGTTTACATTTGTTTGACATAAATTGGACAATGGCAAACAAATTCCTTTTTTTCTGCTATTCAAACTTGCCATAAAACACTCTAGGGTTAATGTATATTTAACAGGTTCAGCTTGACAAAGATGACTTAAAAAGATTGATTGAGGAAGCAAAAGAGTAAGTAAAAAAAGAAAAATAACAATTTCACCCACAGTCCTGGATATTGTAGACGTGTATTAAGCTTCATCAATAGAGTAGAGAATGGAAAGGTGGAATGTGTCAAAGAGACAACAACCTTACCAAAGAGCTGAAAACAAATGCCACCAATGTGTCTTCAATGCAGCGAGAAAATCCCACACCTGGAAGGCGGTCTTCGGCTGGTTCCTAAACAATAATGTATACTAGTTCAGCGAAATGGACACCACACTAAACTCTGAAAAATACAAAAGAACTACAATTTAAACAACACACAAGACTAACAATGGCTAGGGGTTCCTGACTTGGGACAGGTTCAAAAATGCTTTTGGCAAAAATCAAAAGGGGAGAGACAACTATGTTAATATCTAATGTACTGCCATTTTCTATTTTTGCAGAAATAAATAAATGAGGGTACATTTTCATAATATGAATGTGCTTGGCGGTCAAAGTGGGACAACCTTGGATGGTTCAGTCATTTGGTCTGACTGATGACAATATTTTTTTGAAAGAAAAATTTAATGGTTTTAAAACATCTTAGCACTTATAGTATTTTCTACAATTTCTGGTCATAAAAGACACATTTTAATCAACATGATCAAGAGAACATTTCATGAATTAGAATGTGTCATTTTTTTTATTTATTCAGTGTTTCTTGTTGAACAGGGTGCTATATGAGAAAAATGTCAATCATATTTTATAATGTAGAAATTTAGATGAACATTTAGAAGAGGAGGATGATGAACAGGAAGCAGATGGAGCCACTGCATCTAAAACAAAACCTATTGGGAAAAGAAATCATGATGAGGAAATGGAAGAAGATGTTGTGGCAAAATACAATTTAGATGACTATGATGAGGAAGATGGTATGTTAAACAAAGATCATTATAAATAGGAATCACAGATAAAATATTAATTTTTTTTTCTGTCAAAACTGTTACAGGGTACCCACAAAGTATTTTTGATGGAGAGTCTTAAGGATTCGTCATTTTTGGTCATGGCCAGTCTAACAGTGAGAAGGAGAAATTTTAGTGCTATATAATTTATTATTTCAGTCTCCATGACCAAATAGAGCTTGTTGAGGAAATGACATCAAATTTTAATTTTTTTTGAACATCTATAAATTGATATGTGTGCACAGTTGATACAACATTTTTCAATTTTGATACATCTTTTAATTCACCAGCTATGAAAATGATGAGTCCAGTCAGATTTAGGACTTTGAGAAGCTTACTGAGAAGCTTGCTGTTATATGTTTAATAAAGGAGTACTAAGATCTAATAATCACCTTGCTAATATAAAAATAATGTTCATTTTTAAGTTTTCAATCTTTCTATATTGCAAATTTATTAGGCTTATAAAAATTTAATATTCTGACAAAATTGTTCATTTTATTTTGATTGTGTATTGACAGAATCTGAAGCCTTGGCAGGAATAGGAAACCTGGCCTACTTTGCATCACCAGATGACGATCCATATTTCACAACGAAAGGAGAGGTATTTATGAAATTAGAAAGTAGAGTTAAATAGATATAAGAAGATGTGGTATGAGTGCCAATGAGACAACTCTCCATCCAAGTCAAAATTTATAAAAGTAAACCATTATAGGTCAAAGTACGGTCTTCAACACGGATCTTAGGCTCACACCGAACAGCAAGCTATAAAGGGCCCCAAAAATTACTAGTGTAAAACCATTCAAAATGGAAAACCAACGGTCTAATCTATATAAAAAAACAAGAAACACTTATGAACCACATAAACAAACGACAACCACTGAACATCAGATTCCTGACTTAGGACAGGTGCAAACAATTGCAGCGGGTTTAAACGTTTTAATGGTACCAAACCTTCACCCTTTTTCTGAAACAATAGTGTAACATTACAACATAGAAAGCCTTCTAACCTAAAGCTAAAATTAAACAAAATGAATGAGGAATGTGTCCATGGGACACAGATGATGCCCCTGCTTGCATATAATATTAAGTTATAAAGGGACATAACTGAAGAACAGTATAAGTGACGCTACCAAAATTTGTACTTGATCTGAGTTTTGTAGTAATAAGTATTGTGTATAAGTTTCATCAAATTTGGTTGAGGCAAACTTAAGTTAGAGAATGGAAATGAAAAATTCAGCAATTTTTCCATTTGTAAAGGGCATAACTCTAGAACGGTTAAAGTGACACCACCAAAATTCAAACTTGATCTGTATTTTGTGGTAATAAGCCTTGTGTATAAGTTTCATAAAATTTGGATGAGGCAAACTAAAGTTAGAGAATGGAAATGAAAAATTCAGCAATTTTTCCATTTGTAAAGGGCATAACTCTAGAACGGTTAAAGTGACACCACCAAAATTCAAACTTGATCTGTATTTTGTGGTAATAAGCATTGTGTATAAGTTTCATAACATTTGGTTGAGGCAAACTAAAGTTAGAGAACGGTTGTAAAGGGGCATAACTCTAGAATGGTTAAAGTGATGCCACCAAAATTCAAACTTGATCTGTGTTTTGTGGTCATAAGCATTGTTTATAAGTTTCATAGCATTTGGTTGAGGCAAACTGAAGTTAGAGAACAGAAACCAATTATGGGACGTACGTACGGACTGACGTACAGACGGACAAGGGTAAAACTTAATGCCCCCTCCGCTACAGCGGGGGCATAAAAATACAGTATTAATAAGTGCATATTTTAGAACACACACAATGTAAAAAGAGAAAAATTCATTGTGTAACAGCGGTCTAATTATGAAAAAAATCCTAAGGGGAAGTTATTTTGGATACATATTTAAGTGAATAGCAGCATGCCTAAAAATGAAGGTCACTCTGACCTACATTTTATGCTTTATGCTCTCATATTATTCAAAACTCAGATACTAAGTGATATATAATAAAATAACTTTCTGTAAGGATACATTAAGGGGAGTATAGCAGCATCCCACAAAGTTACTTTGACCTACATTTTATGATTCCTTGACTTATAGTAGGATTATGTTTCTCAGATTGTAAGTGATCCACACACAAGTTAAATTTTACTTACATAGTTGTTTTCATTATTTTATAAGATTTATCAAATTTCATCATGAGACAAACACTGTACTTGTGTAGATTACCTACATGTATGTTTTTATTTAGTTGAGTTTCAGGATTTTTAACGTAGAAAATCTATAGTGTCAGGAAATAAAGGGGGAAACATATGGTTTTTTTTTGCATTCAAACATTATTATTGAATTATAAATATTATTGTGTGTATTAGTTCAAATTTGATGACATAAACAATCTGTTTATTCAAGTACATGTATTTTATTAATAGTATGATAGTGATGATGAAGATTTTGAAATTAAAGCTACAGATAATTTGATAGTAGCTGGAAAAGCAGAGAAAGATGTTTGTTCTTTGGAAATATATGGTAAATATAAACAAATTTTGATTGGGGTATATATCAATGAGACAGCAACCTAACAACCCCAAAAGACATTTATTGGTCAATTTAGTCTTTAATAAATATATATTTTATCGATACAACATTTCAAGCTCTAAATTACCCATATATACAGCCTAGAAAAGCAGAGGTCTACCAGCAACACCAAACCCCTAAAGGACAACACATTCTACGATATAAATAAAGATAGTTGTAGAAATAATATTGCATTGGAAGAGGAAAATCTGCTCTAACCAATTCAGATACTCAATATAAAAATAAGAAGATGTTGTATGATTGCCGTAGAGACAACAGTTACTAGCTCTCCAACAGAGACCAAATGATGAAAAAGCTAGCAACTATAGGTCACCGTTTGGCATGATTTTTATGCCCCACCTATGGGCATTATGTTTTTCGGTCTGTGCGTCCGTTCGTTCGTCCGTCTGTTCCGCTTCAGGTTAAAGTTTTTGGTCAATGTAGTTTTAGATGAAGTTGAAGTCCAATCAACTTGAAACATAGTACACATGTTCCCTATGATATAATCTTTCTAATTTTAATGCCAAATTAGAGTTTGACCCCAATTTCAGGGTCCACTGAACATAGAAAATGATAGTGCGAGTGAGGCATCCATGTACTATGGACATATTCTTGTTTATGATAATCTGGCTGTGTAGAAAAAGGGCAGATATATATGGAGAAGAAGAAAAAAAATAGGAGATAACCAATAATTCAATGAACAGCATACACATTGCTATTCTTCTTTGTCAGTTGCTGAAAGGTCTTTCACAATGGGCTAAAGATACATTTATTTTTTAAATTCATTGAATGATACAAAAATTAGTGTTAAAAGTAGACATGTTCCATGAGTATGAAATATGGAAGGGAAAGACAGTTTTAACCTATGATGATACATGATTGTTTTAGTCTACAATGAAGACAATGTCAATTTATACATCCACCATGACATAATGATATCTTCTTTCCCATTGTTTCAGTATACAATGAAGACAATGCCAATTTATACATCCACCATGACATAATGATATCTTCTTTCCCATTGTTTCAGTATACAATGAAGACAATGCCAACTTATACATCCACCATGATATAATGATATCTTCTTTCCCATTGGCTGTTGAGTGGATGAATTTTGATGTTGGTGAAGATAAACCAGGTTTGTAGATTAAATGTAACTTCAAAGGAAGAAATCATTTTTTATACGACCGCAAAAAAATTTTTGTGGTCGTATATTGGTATGACGTTGGCGTTGTCGTCGTCGTTGTCGTCTGAAGACACATTGGTTTTCGCACTCTAACTTTAGTTTAAGTGAATGGATCTCTATAAAATTTTACCACAAGGTTCAATACCACATTAGGAAGGTTGGGATTGATTTTGGGGGTTATGGTACCAACAGTTAAGGAATTAGGGGCCAAAAATAAGCATTTTTGTAACTTCCAGACATAACTTGTGTGTTAGTGTATGGATCTCTCTGACATTGTACCTCAAGGTTCCATATCACAAAAGGAATGCTGGGATTGATTTTGGGGGTAATTGCCTCAAAATTTTAGGAATTAGGGGCCAAAAAAGGGGCAAAAAACAAGCATTTTTCTAGTTTCATGACAATAACTTGTGTGTAAGTGTATGGATCTTTCTGAAATTGTACTACAAGGTTCCATATCACAAAGGGAAAGCTGGAATTGAGTTTGGGGGTAATTGCCGAAAGGTTTAGGAATTGGGGGCCAAAAAGGGGCCAAAAAACACATTTTTCTAGTTTCCAGACAATAACTTGTGTTCAAGTGTATGGATCTCTCTGAAATTGTACTGCAAGGTACCATACCACAAAGGGAAGGCTGGGATTGATGATGGGGGTAATTGCCTCAATATTTTAGGAATTAGGGGCAAAAAAGGGGCAAAAAACAAGCATTTTTCTAGTTTCAGGACAATAACTTGTGTGTAAGTGTATGGATCTTTCTGAAATTGTACTACAAGGTTCTATATCACAAAGGGAAAGCTGGGTTTGAGTTTGGGGGTAATTGCCCTAAACGTTTAGGAATTTGGGGCCAAAAAGGGGCCAAAAAACACATTTTTCTAGTTTCCAGACAATAACTTGTGTTCAAGTGTATGGATCTCTCTGAAATTGTACTGCAAGGTACCATACCACAAAGGGAAGGCTGGGATTGAGTTTGGGGGTGATGAATCATAAGGGAGTTCAAAAAAATTGGGGGGGGAGGGGGGTTTCCTTTTTTTTCTTTTTTTCCTTTTTTTTTTCTTTTAAAATTTTCCATTTTAAGTTGGTTATTTCTGATTTATATTTAAAAGCAAATAATAATGATATGGTACGAGATACACACCAAACAGGATGTGTAAATTATTATATAATAAGTATTGTGCAATAGCAAGAAATTTTCAATTGCACAGTATTGCACAATAGCAAGAAATCTTCAATTGCACAGTATTGCGCAATAGCAAGAAATCTTCAATTGCACAGTATTGCGCAATAGCAAGAAATATCCAATAGCACAATATTGCGCAATAGCAAGAAATTGTCAATTGTACAGTATTGCGCAATAGCAAGAAATATTTAATTGCACAGTATTGTGCAAAAGAAGATACTTCGTATAAATTGCTTATTTCTTGACCAATTTCAATGGGGTTTTATTCTTGAATTCTTGGGGTTCTTAAATATGCTGAATCTAACCGTGTATTTAGTTTTTGGATTTTGGGCCCCGTTTTTAAATTGGTCCACATTGAGGTCCAAAGGGTCCAAAATAAAACTTTGTTTGATTTCATCAAAAATTAAATTATTGGGGTTCTTTGAAGTGCCGAATCTAACCGTGTATTTAGATTCTTAATTTTTGGTTCCGTTTTCAAATTGGTCTACATTAAGGTCCAAAGGGTCCAAAATTAAACTAAGTTTGATTTTAACAAAAATTGAATTCTTAGGGTTCTTTGATATGCTGAATCTAAACATGTATTTAGATTTTTGATTATGGGCCCAGTTTTCAAGTTGGTCCAAATCAGGGTCCAAAATTAAACTTTGTTTGATTTCAACAAAAATTGAATATATGGGGTTCTTTGATATGCTGAATCTAACCATGTATTTAGATTTTTGATTTTTGGGCCCCGTTATCAACTTGATCAACATTGAGGTCAAAAGGGTCCAAAATTAAACTTTGTTTGATTTCATCAAAAATTGAATTCTTGGGGTTCTTTGATATGCTGAATCTAGCCATGTATTTAGATTTTGGATATTGGACCATAATAGGTGAATGTCCAATTTAAAATTTTTAAGTTCTTAGACCACATTCATTCTGTGTCAGAAACCTATGCTGTGTCAAATATTTAATCACAATCCAAATGCAAAGCTGTATCAAGCTTGAATGTTGTGTCCATACTTGCCCCAACTGTTCAGAGTTCGACCTCTGCGGTCGTATCAAGCTGCGCCCTTCGGAGCATTTTATTTGTAGATGCACATGCGATATTGAAAACATGACAAAAATATATGATTTTTATACCATTGTCCGTTCGTCGTCAACATGTCGGACATTAACTCAAAAACGCTTCAACCAATTTGCATAAAACTTTGGTGAATTGTTAATATCTACTGATGTGAGCTCCCTTTCGTTTTTTATAAAATTTAGATTGTACGTTTCTGAGTTACGGGGTTTTATTCATTAAAAAAGGGGGGATTTTCCAGTTTTAGGACAATAACTCAAAACTGCTTTCACAAATTTGCAAGAAACTTTGGTCAGTTGTTTACATCTATTGACATGAGCTCCCTTTTGATTTTTATATATTTTAGATTTTATGTTTCCGAGTTATGGAGTTTTATTCATTAAAAAAAAGGGTTTTTTTCCAATTTTCTGACAATAACTCAAAAATGCTATCAGCAGTTCTCCTTGGAGAATTGTTAATATTTATTGATGTAAGCTCCCTTTCAATTTTTAGATTTTACACTTCCGAGTTATGGGATTTTATTCATAAAAAAAGGGTGATTTTCTAGTTTTCGGACAATACCTTTAAAGTGCTTTGAGCAGTTTTCATTAAACTTTGGTGACTGGTTTATATCAATTAGGATAACCTCCCTTTAGTTTTTCACAAATTTCTGATATGACATTGAGAAGTTATTGAACTTTATTCGAAAAAAATGCGACGGGCGTATCATGCGCTCATGGCGCAGCTGTTAATTAATCATTCAGTAATCTCAATTTTATGACCACCTGTCGGGAAGTTAAGGTATTTAGAAATGGCACTTGCATTTAGATTTAAATGGTATCAATTAAAACCCTGTTTGCCTACTTATAGGACAGTATTTTCTCATATTTGACCTGTTTATACCCTTTGTCAAGATGATTTGGTTTCTGGGTCAAATTGAATATTAGAGCCAATTAAGTCTGAGCTAGTTTGATTTGTTTTGTTTACAGGTAGTTTTGTTGCTGTTGGGTCTATGGAACCCATCATTGAGATCTGGGACCTGGATGTTGTAGATTCTTTAGAACCAGTCACAGTATTAGGACAGAAACCCAAGAAAAAGAAAAGTAAAAAGGTTTGTTCTTTCCAATGATTTGCAAAAAGTTTAATTGCTGTAGCTTTCTTCCTTTAACCCTTTCCCTTTCACACCGGTACAGCTTACCAGTGAAGCAAATTTTAAGATACTTTTTGGGCATTTATTCTTGTTCCATCGTCATTTGCTGACGTACAGATATGGTTAAGGGCTCAAATTAATCCTCAGAATACCAGCAATATGGTTGAATGTGCATCAAACTTCTATCATTATCAGTTTATAGTCAATTCGCCTTTTACTGACATGTATTTTTTCTGTAAAAACCATTTTTTTACTTTGAATTTTAAAGAATATTTTCAAAAAGAAGTGCATAGAAAACTGTCCTTTTTGGGGGAATTATGACTTTTTTCAATAACTGTGCAGTGAGTTTTTGAAGAATAGTATTAAAATAATAGTTCTAACTTGTACACTAGTTAAAAATGTAATTTTTAGTGTACCAGCGCAATCACAAACTTGAAATGCGCTAAAAATCCGTAGTCATTTCTTAAAGATTTTATCGTAAAAGAGACAAAAACCACTGAAATGTCCTGAATTTTTTTAGCAAAGTTGAAATAGATGTAACAAAACATGGTTTCGTAAGTGTTTGGGTATGATAAAGTTGAAAACACTTTTGTTTAAATGAAGGAAAATGTATATGCCAATGGAAACAAGACAGACTAAGAACTGGATTCCTGCTATATTTGCGCAAAAATCATGCATTTGGCCATTTGGCATCAAAAATATATCATCTGAACACATAATTTCTAAAAGAAAACAAGCTGGGTGAGGATTTTCATATGTTTTCTTTTTTTTTTTTTTTTTCACGTCTTGAGTAGTAGACTTAAGTACTTAAATTTTAATATATTCCTAACGATGCCAGTGGTGCAGTGGTATGCTGAACAAACCAAAGGCGGAAAGATCGCGTGTTCGATTCTCACTGCTGGAGGTGGAAAAATTATTTCCTATATTAAATGTAACTTAACTTAACTTTACTTTCAATTTCAAAAAGAAAAACCAACGAAATACTTATGTTTGTTTTTAAAAGAATTTGTGTGCCAAATTGCCCCCCCCCCCCCTTTTTTCCCATTTGCTTCATCGGGTTCAGTCCAGGGTGCAAGTTATCATTAGTAATTCAATAAATTTTCCCGTAGAAAAACAAAATTTAGGTTACTGCTTGACTGAAAACGATTTAGACAAAAAAACTAGTGTCCGAGTTTGTAATTGGACGAAAAGAGCGTCTGAAATCAGTTATTTTGAATGTTACGGACATCGAGATTTCAAGGCATATAGCATGTATTTCCTCTTTAAATACCAATATGATAACTTGTATGTCTTAAACAGACTTGGTGCATTGTGTTTCCACCAAAACCTTACCCTATTAGCGCAACAATATGTCTCTACACGACTTTTGTCCCAAGGATTTCATATTTTTCCACATTTTCTCCAAAAGTCACGTGACTTTTCGAAACATCCCAAGTGACCAAAAAAGGACGAATTATCTTTAAACGTAATTTTCTGAAATATTTGACCAATTATCTTTCATATGAGCCCAACATGGCATGTGCATGACCATTGGTGCGAATGCAGTATTCAATTGAACTTTGATAGTGTCTTTTCGATAAGTAAAGGTCTAAAATGCCTGAAAGGGAAAGGGTTAATAAAAATAGGAACTACTGGTGATAGATCAATGATATTTTGTATGAAGTTGCATCGCTATCAGTACATATCAGTTTGACGACTTTTTTGAGGCCCTGCCCTCTAGGCCATGGTTCAGTGACTTTCAATTAATTAGCAATTTTCAATAATAAGTTTTCTGCTTAAGTTAGTTTGATAGGAACTACTTGCAAAAGATCAATGATATTTTCTATAAAGTTGATTTACTGTCTGTACATCTCAGTTTGTCAACCATTTCGAGGCCCTACTCACTAGTTGGTCCAGCGACTTTGAATTAATTCGCAATGTTGCTGTCCATCAGATTGTCTTTTTCTGAATTTTATGCCGACAGGCGAGACATATCTCTGTGTCAACAGTTTATTTATGTATTATGTAGTTACTTTTGTTATATTGGGAAGTTCAGAATTTGCATTCATAGATAAAAAAATCTAGCCACTTTATAAAATACTGCTACATTGTACTTCTTTCAAAATAGCTTTTTATATTGGAACTGGAGGGATATGGTTTATAGTTTTATTTTGCTCTTCAGGTTCAGTTTATTCCCATTTGGTTTATAGACAGTAAAATGTTTAACAAAATAAAATCAAATACATAAAATGAAGAAAACTGGAAAATTTTACAAAAAAACAGAAACAGTTTTAGGTTGTCATTCCTTTATTCAGCTATATTTAACCTCCCAACACACTCATGCTTCTTATCAGCAATTAATCACTGGCAGTTTTACTCAGGAACAGGGTAATGCTGAATTATATGCAGATTTCAATTGTTATAGACCTAGACGAAGTTGTCTTTAGTAGTGCACTACAGCTTAAAATTTTATGGTCCAATTCAAGCTTTATAAAATAGTAAAACCCTTGAATGGATATTTGTTTCAAGACTTTTCAGTAAGTTTACTCCAAGGTATGAGTTTTCTCTCACTAATCAAACAGACTGCTATGAGATTGTATGGATGTTTAATAGACTGTGACATTTGACAACCAAAACCATTCTCAGAAGTGATCAGTATATGTTTTAATCAAATGATATATTGCTAATAAGGATAAGTACTTTCATATGGGATACCACTGTAATATCCTGTATGAAACCTATCTGTGAAAGTCAAACATTTGTTGAATTTTGTTATATTATGTCAGTGTTTATCTTACAGTCAGGTGGACATGGTCATACAGATGCTGTGTTAGACTTGTCATGGAATTCTGCAGTTAGGTGAGCTATTAAAATATATTTAAAAATTATTCTCACCAGACTTTTCAACCTAATAACCGAAAGTGCTGCTTTTAGAAATTTAACCCGAATGTTCATCAGGTTCTCGGAAATTGGTGAAGCTTCTGTTTAGGATGTTTCTTTTCAGTTTTTGAGTGTTTCTCTCAAACAAGAAGCAATATTTTAAAGACAATTTAGGCCTGAATTGTTTTCTATTTCCGAAACAAATCTTGCTTTTTTACATATTCTAGAAATGTTTTGACAAAATATATTTAATTGTTTCTAAAATATTTTAGCAGGAAGTTCTGCAATAAATTTCCAATCTTATCTAGGTCATGAATGTGTGTTGCTTAAAATTTCTTGAATGTACTAAAGTCAGTGTAATACATTTTATGAAATTGTTTTTATACCACACCTCATATTAACCTTCAACAATGTCAGAGCAGAGAGAGATCGTAGAGCTGAGCTCTCGGGCAGATATGGAGGTTTCAGTTTGATATGGCCTATTCTATGACAAACCCAGATGATATTATGTAGGTATGTTTAAAAATGTTAAGCACACAAGCCATGGTATTATTTTATTTTAGGAATGTGTTAGCCAGTGCATCTGCTGATTTTACTGTTGGATTATGGGATTTAACTGAAGGAAAAATTGTTACTTCAATTACACAACACAAGGAAAAGGTACATGTATATAAGTCGATCAAATCACAAGAACTTACATGATATTTGTTCATTCTGTTTTGAAATGCTTTATTTTGTATTGATCCAAACGTAAGCCACCTGCATTTCTTAAGAGGTGTAAAGTTATGTTTTCAAAAAACCAGATTTATTAATTCCAGAATATGTATATAAGTTAATATTTTGTGAAATTTGTCAGAGGTTGCTAATAATAAAACAGGGAAAAAAATGGTCAACTTAAAAGACAATACATTTTTGTTTTCATCTGTTGAATTTAATGGGAAATTAGAAACAACGATGTATTCTTTATGCCATGAATTTTTAGGAAGGAGCTTCAAGTAGGAAAGAGGCTAATTTGAGATTGAATGATATATCTAATGGGATACCAAGAGCTGAAAAACGGGAAAATCATTTTCTTCTGACTGTCTTAACTCCTAATGGCAGTATTAGAAATTTAACTGAGGACCAAACAGAGATTATCAAATTTGTTCAATACTAAACTTATCAGTTTTCAGAGTATATTCTTTTCATGGTATGATAGTCTTCTGCCAGGAAAAAATAAATGGTACCAATTTCCTAGTGCATAACACATGTTTCTGAATGAATTCTAATCAGCTTTACTCAAACAAAAAAGTTCTGAAATCTTTGAAATATTAAAATTTAAACTTTTGAGAGCATAAAAATCAAATTGGCCAAAACACATCACAAATTAGCAATGTCAGTTGTATATATTGAATTACGCTGGAATCAAAATTCAATTAAATCAAGTGATAAGTAAGTCTCTGTGTATTTGCATACTTCTTTATCGTGAAATGGTTGGTTTTCTAGAACTTTTTTCTATATTATATTGAAAAGTGTCTTACAAGTTGCTTCAATAGAAGAAAATCATTAATTTTACTAATATTAGAAGTGAAATGATTCATTCATATGTTTCCTGCTCATTGAAACATTGAAACATTGATAGATAGGCACTAATGTTTGCTGTTAAGATATTGACAAACATAATGCCTTCACATGTTTAAATGAGCATAGCTCATTGTTGAAGGCTGTACAGTCAGCTATAGTCCTAACCTTCTATATCATTTGGTCTCTGGTGGAGAGTTGTCTCATTGGCAATCATACCACATCTTACTTGAATATAGAGCTTGGCATGAAAGAATTATCTCTCAGGTATAATATTTGCATTGAATATTTGGAATTTTTTTAAAGCAGGTAATTTATGCAATTCCTGATTATGTTTTAGTAGAATATAGATATCAAAAATTAAAAACCAAGTTTAAATTATTGTTAAGATTACTCTCTCACAACTATCACAAAAAAAACTTTGCATGAATAAAAACTTATGCAGAAAAAAAAGGAAATTGTAACACAGGTATTTTTTTTTACAAACAGGTGCAGTGTGTGAAATGGCATCCTTTTGAACAGCAGACATTGTTATCTGGATCCTTTGACAAGTAGGTTTTCCATATTTTTATCTTAAAAGTGAAACGTTGGGCTGTAAAAACATGCTCACACTATATTTCATTATTTACATATGATACGACACATGAATGGTAATGGTTTGCCTCAAGGTGTGATGTTTCCTGTCTTGTTCAAAGGCCAAACTATGGAATTAGTATATGTCCCTTCTCCTCAAATTGCACAGAATTGAGGATTAAGAAGTAGGACATGAATCTATATCTGATTAAAATATCAATTTACATATGGTCAAATATGATAAATGAAATTTAGATTTATGCATTTATTGAATCACCTTTCCAATGAAGTGCTTAATGAGGACAGAAGCACATTTTTCAGTATAAAGTGCTACTGTGCTTTAAACTATCTCTGATTGGTTTCATCATATTGCTTCATAAAAAAGTTCTTCAGTTCGCACATTTATATGCTAATAAAACTACATAAAAAGGCTTTTTGTTTTTAAGTAAATATGCCACTTTTTTCTTCTTTTTTTTGACAAATGTTTTAAATTTTAATTATTTTCATATTGTATTGTAGTTATAAGTGCTTGCAATGTTAACAGTTAATATATGAATTCTCCATTATTTTGTTAAAAATCTGGTATCTTTCATTTCATTTCCAGCATTGATAATTTTTACCACAATCCAGTATTTTCAAAATGAAATGAGAGTCTCTAAAGGATAAAATGTTATTACTAAAAACTATTTATTAACTGAAGTGTTGACATATCTGCTTGAGAATTGATTATCAATGCTGTAACATTTTAACTATTTCAGTACTGCAAAAGTTTATGACTGTAGAAACCCAAATAGTACGTACAAAAATTGGGATCTTGATGGAGAAATAGAAAGAGTATTGTGGGATACACATAAACCTTTTAATTTCTTTGTAAGTAAATATATTGATGGCTTTATTAATAATATAGATTATATGGTTTAATTTTTTCTGAGATAAATAGGAAATTTGAACACATGCAAGTACCAATTTTATCAATATTTACATGAAAAGTGTTGTTCATATAGACTTAACACTGTGGTATTTTTAGTTTGTACTTGTATGTGCTCTTTGTTTGCAGGTTCAAAAACTAGTTGAAAATTGATAGAAGGGCCTTTTCCATGATGTCACACAACTATTTTTATTTTGATGTGATGGATGGTCTATTTATTTTTTGAATTTGTATTATCTCAACTTTAGAATAGACATACATAGAAATCTTGAATCAGAAGTTAAAATTTTAGTGAAAAATTTAAAAAAATAAAAGATAGATTGTACAATAAAGTGTCAAAAACACAGTTTGTATAACCTGTTTATTGGTTTATAAGCTGTTTGAAAGCATAAAACCAAAAGTGCCTAAACAGAACAGCCAAACCTGTCTATGGTCAACTTTCCCTTAGGGCATTGTAACCTCAGTTCTGCACAGTAATATAGTTTTATGGCTGAAAATTAAGTCAATCACAATTATTTTCATGCTGATATGTAAGCACTACCTACTGGCTGAATTATTTTCCACCTAACTGAGTGGTACTCCTTGAAAAATAGTTATAACCCTTTCTTGCAAAAAAGAGGGAGACTATTCCTATTTTAATTGAATTATCCATATATTTAATCAGCATTGTAAAAGAATGAAAAAATGCATCTACCAGTATTTCTTCAACACTTTCAAAAGTTTAAGCAACATTAGTACATGTAGTATTTTCATTGATGATATATATGTTGAGTTATTGATTTAACAATTCAATGTGGATTTTTTGTCGAGCCTGCGACTTTTGTTGCAGAAAGCTCGACATAGGGATAGTGATCTGGCGGCAGCGGCGTTAGCTAACTTCTTAAAAGCTTTATATTTTAGAAGGTGGAAGATCTGGATGCTTCATACTTTGTATATGGATGCCTCATGTTACGAAGTTTCCGTCAGTCACATGTCCAATGTCCTTGACCTCATTTTCATGGTTCAGTGACTACTTGAAAAAAAAGTTCAGATTTTTTGTAATGTTAAATTCTCTCTTATTATAAGTAATAGGATAACTATATTTGGTATGTGCATACCTTGCAAGGTCCTCATGCCCGTCAGACAGTTTTCACTTGACCTCGACCTCATTTCATGGATCAGTGAACAAGGTTAAGTTTTGGTGGTCAAGTCCATATCCTTGATACTATAAGCAATAGGTCTAGTATATTCGGTGTATGGAAGGACTGTAAGGTGTACATGTCCAACTGGCATGTGTCATCTGACCTTGACCTCATTTTCATGGTTCAGTGGTTATAGTTAAGTTTTTGTGTTTTGGTCTGTTTTTCTTATACTGTATGCAATAGGTCTACTATATTTGGTGTATGGAATGATTGTAAGGTGTTCATGTCTAGCTGGCAGGTGTCATCTGACCTTGACCTCATTTTCATGGTTCAGTGGTCAAAGTTAAGTTTTTGAGTTTTGGTCTTTTTTTCTAATACTATATGCAAAAGTTCAACTTTATTTGGTGTATGGAAATATTTTATGATCTATATGTCAGTCATGCAGGTTTTATTTGACCTTGACCTCATTTTCAAGGTTCATTGCTCAGTGTTAAGTTTTTGTGTTTTGGTCTGTTTTTCTTAAACTATAAGCAATAGGTCAACTATATTTGTTGTATGGAAGAATTGTTAGCTGTACATGCCTGCCTAGCATGGTTCATCTGACCTTGACCTCATTTTCATGGTTCATTGGTCAATGTTTAGTTTACTTGGTTAATGTTAAGTTTATGTGACAGTTGTAATAAAGCTTTATATTTAGGACTATCAACATAGTATCAATGATTAGTAAAGAAGGCGAGACATTTCAGCGTGTGCACTCCTGTTTTTTTTAATTTAAGTTTCACCTATTATCTATTTATGTTATGTAGGCCTCAACAGATAAAGGTGTGATATATTACCTAGATTCACGGATGGACAAACAACTATTTACACTTTCAGCACACGATGAAGCTGTAACAGGTATGGCTGTTAACACAACCTCAGTAAATTATCTCTCAATTTCTATGATTTTCATGTACACTCAAACTGAGGAAAATACCTTGTAACTGGTCATTTCTTAGGTCATTTTACATAAAGTTGTTTTAAAAGATTTAAGAAGTTGAAACCAAAATTGTTCTGATAAATCTAAGGTTAAATCAACTGAATCAAGCTGTTTTAACTGAGAAATATTGGTTTAAATACATATAAAATGTTCAAAAAGTTCTAAATGAAATTCAAACTGAAATGAACAGTTGCTTGAAAATTAGTTACTACATGTGTAAGTTTTGGAAGTAAATTAATGTTAGTAAAATTATCTTGTATAAGTAATGGGGTAGATATCATTACAAAAGTTTTGAACCCCATTGAACCCTTGATTGCAGGATTGAAAAACACTCAATTTCAATAATTAAACATATTATAAAATGTATTACAAAAGATTGAATGCTGTGCAATGTTATATAAGTTTATGTTTGCAGTTTCTATAACCTTACTAATTTTTGCTATTTAGTTAGTGATTTATTTATCCAATTAGTTAGGTTATGTTGATATTCTTCATTTTAACAGTTTATAGGAATCTAACACATAACTTAGTTAGATAACTGAATTGCTCACACTTTACAGCAAGATGAAGGCTGTTCCTAATGTAGTATTCTCTGTTATTCACTACTATACTTTGGAAATATTCTTTATAAAGGAGTTTTCCATAGATTCATAGATAACTGGTGACTCCTTCCTACAGATATTGTCATTCTTTGTCTATGATGTATTTCAGGTATATCACAGAGTTATAAAGTTCCAGGCCTTTTAGTGACAACATCATCAGACAAAATGTTTAAAGTATGGGATGTACAGGACAATAAACCATCATTAGTGTTGGAAAGAAATCTTAAAATGGTAATGTATCAATTAATGAGCCAGGGGAGAAAAGGCAATCTAGACAGCAAACAAACAGCACAAAAATCACATCATGAGGTCACAAATATGGTAACAATCTACAGTTTGTTTCCAAAATAAAAATAAGAAGATGTGGTATGATTGCCAATGATACAACTCTCCACCAGAGACCAAATGATGTAAAAGGTTAGCAACTATAGGTCATCATACAAACGAGAAAAGTAACAGCCTGATTTATGTACAAAACAATGAACAAAAGACAAATATGATTTAAAGCAACAAATGACAACCACTGAATTAATTTAACAGGTTTGCTGGTGTGCCAACCCTCCCCTAACCTGGGACAGTGGGCTATCTGCCCAACATAAGAATAAACTATAAAAATTGGTTGAAAAAGTCTTAACTCATCAGATGTGGTATGATTGCCAATGAGACAAAGTCTGAAACATCCTATTAATTTCTTCAACATCAACATCAACAGTGTCAAACATGGTGGCATAAAAAAATAACTAAAAAGGGGGAACATACCATGTGGACTATAAAAACATTAGTAAGAGAAAACCAGTGAACACTATGCTCAATAAAAAAACAACAAAAAGGCAAATAGTCTATAAGATATCATGGCTTCTTATCTTGTAATCTTGTTGAACGACGCCACTGAATGTTTTTAGGGACAGTTATATTGTTCAGAGTGCTGCCCTGAGGCTCCTTTCGTGTTTGCTATTGGTGGTGATGGAGGCGAAATGAGGGTCTGGGACATTAGAGAAAGTGCTGCAGGTTAGTAGGATATAGGCATATGGTTATACAGAGAAAACATTGTTCAAAATGTTGGAAAATTAGAAAAATCTGATGAACTTGGATTTGGCAAAGAACTGTATAAAAAAAAGATGTGTTGTCAACTTCAATGAGACTAAATGATTTTTAAAATATTTATCAAAATGTTTGCTATTGTAAAGAAAACATTGAAACCATATTTTATAAAGTGTGCGATTCTTATTCATGTAATTGATAATTGTAATTGCCGCTTGAAACTTATACACAATGCCTATTACCACAAAACACAGATCATCTGTGTCCCATGGACACATTCTCCATTTATTTAATTACTGTGATGTTCAGACATTTGTATATTATTTTTTAATACTTTAACTGTTGTGATAGATTATTCTGTAAATATTATTAGAATTATATTAAGCCTTCTGTCATATGCTTAATTTTTAGACTCCTTAAATTTACGACTATCTTTATTTCAGTGAGGAAGCATTTCTTAGATAGAGCTCCTGTAGGTGTAACTATGGAGGGCGAGGGTGACATAAAAGAGGAGGAACGATTCGTTGACGAGGATGCTCAGGATGTCGACATGGTGATGGGAACTTTATCTATAGACAATTCACAACAACCAAATAGTGAAAATAAAAAGAAGAAGAAAAAGAAAAAAAAGAAAAAACCTAAAGATAACTCTTAATAAAATATTTTTATAATTGGTTTTATTTCATTACAATTCTTCAATACCACTGTATTAGATACACATGCATGTGCATCAGACTTGTGGAATTAGCCTACAGGCATGTGATAGAACAAAACATAAAACCAGTTAAGCCAGAATTATATCTTTTTTTACTCTCCCTAGGCTTGAAGGACATAAAAAACTAGTACAGTATTATAGTATGTTCCTGAGTTGTGATGAATCTAACTTTCTCTGATTGAATTCCATCTTTCTGTGTATTAATCGACTTGTGGATCTCACTGTGATGTTCTATATCAGATCCTTACCAAACTGGTAGAAACGTGGAAGATCCTTATGATTATAAGGTCACTAGCTCAAGATATAGCACTAGCTCAGGTCATAATGCCTGTAGATTTATTACTGTGGATTCATTATTATTAATGGGATATAAATTTTCATGGATTTTATGGGTATAAGTTAACTATGAATTTAATAAAACTATAAAAAGACAACACTATCCTGGATTACTGCAAGGAAATGCTTTATTCTGGACTACATGTTTTGCCACATAAGTGGCGTCTTCATGACAATTTAATAAATGGAAACAAATGCTGAAGTACATAAAATGAGGTTCATATGGGGTCATACAAAGGTTAACAAGACGTTATGTCTCAATTATAGGTTTGATAACGTTAAAATTGAAGTGAAGTAAGAGTTAATAATAAATTGTAAGTATCTTTTCCAAAATGGACAACACCTCACTGTTTCCACAATGCCCTACATGTGCAACTACCATACATCCCACAATATTCCTGACGCAATTGGTAGCAGTCCCTCATTCAGAGTGAAACCAGTTGAAATGGTATGGAATGTCCAGTGAAGTGTTGTCCATTTTGGAAAAGATACTGACAATTCATTATTAACACACACACACACAAAATAACCAAAAGCACAGGAACAGTACTTTTATTACCATTCTTCATCTCAACAGTTTGACAATAATTTACTAAATGTTGAAGAATTGACCTCTGTGCATTGATCGAAGAACAAAGGTATATGTTACATGATTATGCAAATATTTCATGCATATTCAGTAGAAGCCCGCTAGTAAGAGATATCTGTCTATTCAAAAATAAGAAAATGTGGTATGATTGCCAATGAAACAACATCCCACAATAGACCAAATAACATAGAAATTAACAATTATAGGTCACTGTATGGCCTTCAACAATGAGCAAATCACACCACATCTCCTTATTTTTGTATTACCAGTACTGTCCAAAGTCAGGAATCTTTAGCCTTTGTTAGTCTTGAGGTTTTTTTAAATTTTGGTTCATTTGTGTGTTTCGGTGTTGATGTGGCATCCGTTTCGCTGAACAAGTATACATTATTGTTTAGGGGCCAGCTGAAGCCCGCCTTCGTTAGCAGGATTTTCTTGTTGTATTGAAGACCAATTGGTGGCCTTGAGCTGTTGGTCAGATTTTTTGTCTCTTTGACACATTCCCTATTTCCATTTCTATTCTGAATGGAATACTGTAGATTCATTTATTTTCGTGGGTATCAATTTTCGTGGATTGTGGAAAACTGGCATTTCGTGGATATTTGATTTCGTGGTTTTGTCAATCTCAGCATACAAAGCTTATAGAAAATTTATAATTCGTTGAATATTTAAATTTGTGGTTCAGCTGTATCCACGAAACCCACGAAAATTGGTATCCAACGAATAATAATGAATCCACAGTATTAAAGAAGAATTTAGTTTGAGGTTACTGTTATAACAGATTCAAAATCAGGAAATGATATATTGTCACCACCCAGAAAATTTAAATCTGCATGATCCAATGATTGGACTAAATAGTTCATATTTTACCCCAATTCGGTTTGTATTGACCAGAGGTTGTATCTTGGGATCACATCCATCTAAAATTAAGGTATGCTAGTATTCACTTGGCTTTCATCAGGACTACAGACCGACACAGGCTTGTCTTGTTTACAATATTACAATCAAAAATGCCTAATTTATTGAACCTTCTTCAGGTATATTGCATAAGTAGGATGGACTACTTGTGCTATGTTATGTTAAAATTGTTGAAGACGATATTTTCTTGTGGTTTCCTTGGGAACTATTTTGAGCTATTCTGCCATTTATTTTTCACCTGAATAACATTCTTGTAACATTGGTCCGTAACATTAATGGGGATCATTTGAGGGCTATTTCAAATCATCAATCCCATTAGTTTTAAAACAATTAGCCTCGTAGAAGACTCCTGCAAATTTTGGTTATGATAGGATTTTTATTTCAGAGAAGAAATTATGTAAAAAGTGTATGCACTATATACATCAATTCATGACAAAGCCCACATGGTTCTATAGACCAGACAAGCCAAAAGGGACTATTAGGGAACAACAATTTAACTTCAAAGGGGGGGGTTATGGTTTTTTCCTAAAAAAATATTCTGATCCTCAATTGATGAATAAAAATAGTGTGGTCAAGCAGATGATAACAAAAAAATATTTAGTTTTTTCTGCATTGATGAAGACTCTTATAGCCTGCTAACTACTTTTTATCACTTAAATAATTTGGCAGATTTATTTTAACATTAAATGGTACCAGTCTCACATTTTGGCAATATCTTTCTTCAGTGATACTTGAGGCAAATATTTGTAAAAATCCCAAACTTGATACAAATATATATATGTTGATTGTTTAAAAGCTGATATAAACGAAAAGGAACAAAAAGTATAGACAAACCCCGGCAAGGAATTAGAGCTATGCATACCATCAGTGGAACTAGTTTCCTTTTTAAATGTTTGTTTTTGTTTTTAATCAGGTAGAAACTTTTAGAAAATCTGTTATAAACATTTATAAATTTCAAAGATATTTCATCTGTGTTTAACCTAGGCCTTTAACATGTTGCTTGGAGGGCCAGGTGTCTGCTCTTCTTGTTTTAAGTCTTATTACTTTGTATTTCTTGTCTTCTGTGATTCATTTTAAGCATGTGACTACTTTTTATACGACCGCAAAAAAATTTTGTGGTCGTATATTGGTATGACGTTGGCGTCGTCGTCGTCGTCCGCCGGCGTCGTCGTCCGAAGACACATTGGTTTTCGCACTCTAACTTTAGTTTAAGTGAATGGATCTTTTTGAAATTTGACCATAAGGTTAAATACCACAAAAGGAAGGTTGGGATTGATTTTGGGGGTTATGGTACCAACAGTTAAGGAATTAGAGGCCAAAAAGGGGCCAAAAAGGGGCCAAAAATAAGCATTTTCTAGTTTCCCGATATAACTGTGGAACGGTGTATGGATCTCTCTGAAATTATACTACAAGTTTCCATACCACAAAGGGATGGTTAGGATTTGCTTTGGGGGGTTATGGCTCAAACCGTTTAGGAATTAGGGGCAAAAAAGGGGGAAAAACAAGGTTGTCCTGGTTAATGGACAAATACTTTAGTACAAAACATAATTTAAAGCAGTGTAAGGGAGATAAATCAAATACATCATTGAAATTATCTCCCTTACACTGCTTTAAAATTATGTATAAAGTAATGGTTAATGAACAATAAAGATAATTTAAAACAGTGTAAGGGAGGTAATCCAAATACAACGTTTTGGTTACTTCCCTTACACTGCTTTTAAATTATGTTTAAAGAAATACATATTTATTAAGGAAGACCAGTAAAAATATCTGCAAATGTTGCATCTTTTTTTTTTACCAAAAAATCCATATGAAAGATTTGACACTATATTTTTAATTCTATTATAAAATAGATTAAGTTAGCACTATGGTAAATTTAAATGGGTAATTATGGTTGCCAACTCCATTGGAAATTTGAATTGAGATTATGACCATATCTTGAGGGAAAGAATTTTTTGGGGGAAAAAAGGGGGGGGGGGGGATAAAAAGAAATTGTGGGGGGTCAATTTTTTCTCATTTCAGATTTCAGAAATTAAAAAGAATTATTCTTCAAATATTATTTTTTTTTCAAATTTCAAATATTGAAAAATTTCAAGAAGTAATCTTTAATTGCACAGTATGGCGCATAAGATTTGAAAAATCTTTGATCACATTTATTTATTTGTTATGCCGAATCTAACAGTGTATTTAGATTTTTAATTTTGGGTCCAGTTTTCAAATTGGTCTACATTAAGGTCCAAAGGGTCCAAAATTAAACTTTGTTTGATTTTAGCAAAAATTGAATATATGAGGTTCTTTGATATGCTGAATCTAAACATGTATGTAGATTTTTGATTTTTGGCCCAGTTTTCAAGTTGGTCCAAATTGGGGTCCAAAATTAAACTTTGTTTGATTTCATCTAAAATTGAATTATTGGGGTTCTTTGATATTCCAAATCTAACCGTGTATTTAGATTTTTAATTTTGGGTCCTGTTTTTTAAATTGGTCTACATTAAGGTCCAAAGGGTCCAAAATTAAACTTAGTTTGATTTTAACAAAAATTGAATTCTTGGGGTTCTTTGATATGCTGAATCTAAACATGTGTTTAGATTTTTGATTATGGGCCCAGTTTTCAAGTTGGTCCAAGATAGGGTCAAGTATTTAAACTTTGTTTGATTTCAACAAAAATTGAATATATGGGGTTCTTTGATATGCTGAATCTAAACATGACTTTAGATTTTTGATTATGGGCCCAGTTTTCAAGTTGGTCCAAATTGGGGTCCAAAATTAAACTTTGTTTGATTTCAACAAAAATTGAATATATGAGGTTCTTTGATATGCTGAATCTAACCATGTATTTAGATTTTTTATTTGTGGGCCCCGCTATCAAATTGGTTCATATTGAGGTCAAAAGGGTCTAAAATTAAACTTTGTTTGATTTCATCAAAAATTGAATTATTGGGGTTCTTTGATATGCCAAATCTAACCGTGTTTTTAGATTTTTAATTTGGGTCCCATTTTTTAAAATTGGTCTTCATTGAGGTCCAAAGGGTCCAAAATTAAACTTAGTTTGATTTTAACAAAAATTGAATTCTTGGGGTTCTTTGATATGCTAAATCTAAACATGTGTTTAGATTTTTG